CATTTGGTTTCTGGTATCGCACCATCAGTCTCGATGTCACAGTACTTGTACAGCCAACGTACGGATGATAGTTACGACAGCGAAGCCACAAGATGCTATCTGCGCGACTGTCAGTCTCATAACTACAGGAGGGACCCGAATTGCTCACCCAAGTCACAACTAGTATCCAGTCATCTAGCGATGATAGATGAGTTAGCTATGTGTCGAGGAAAAGCTGGGTGCCATGATACTCACCGGCTCCAATGGCTTTGGTTATGCATCCGCGCACATAGAAACGAAGTGTCAGAACCAACAGTGACACTGCTGTGAAAACGATTGCGATTGCGGTAATTTGCGGCCCCTCGTTGGCGATGTCATCGGGAGTGTTGTAGGTCCAGCCCATCGTACTGGCTTGCTCACGGTGGTTTCGTTCAGAATGGGGATTGAATAGTACTTTGCACAGGTTAAAACCCAAACAGGCTTGAAGCCTACGTTAGGACGGCAATGCGCAAATAAGAGGACGTAGCGTCAATGTAGGTCTCAGGGTGTTTAGTTCTCCCTTGATTGAGGTGGTAGACTTTTCGCCTTTGGGAGAGAACACATCAAAATACTAGGCATTGCGATTCAGCGTCTACACAGTTCCGACCGTTCCCAGCGTATTGGCAGTCCAAGAGGACGAAACCGCGTAGGATTCAGCGCGGCCCTTACCCGGTCTATCATAACCCCGTCAGGAAAGCATGCCTTGATCGATAGCAAAGGAGACTCTCATACGAGGTGAAACCTGTAAATATTCCCAGTATTGTCCGAAGTTATAGTAGCCTAACAGCTAACGCACATGGTTGCAATGCAGCCCAAGTGTTGGCCGACAGAAAAGACCTTCTTCTTAAAGCTAGACCAAATAATACCAAGGTATATTGGTAACGGTAACGGGAAACGGCTTCGGCACTGCTCGGTGAGATATCTCCTAATTTTAAGGGTCTAGAAAGACGATATGGGACGATTGCATCTCGCCTGGAGAGCCGCCGACCCGCCCTCGCGGTGGACGTGCTCGGCTGCATCGGAGGTTTCTCAATGCAGCAAAGCCGTGCGCGATCCCTGTTGATAGATGCCGAAGGTCCAGTGCAAGCCCCAGCTTCCAATTGATGGCAAAGTCGCCGTCCCGCACCAGCACCGCGACTCCGACGACTCGACAGCTATCCATCGATTGCTTGTTCATGATGAGGCGCGCTCTCCTTCAACAACCTGTGGTCCTCTGCATATCGCTGTCAGAGGTCTTTTTCGCGTAGACTCAGATCCAAGGCAATCGGCGCCACGGCCACAAAACGGGGTCGCGGTATCACCCCGGGACGGTCCACCCCACCGGACACTAGATTTGTAGTCCCACAACTGCTCTAGCTTGCTCGCCACTGTCAAGCGCGGCGCATGCAGGGAGCCTGAATTTCTGTTTATATTAATCCGTATGTCTGAGACATTGACATTTTCCAGGTCGCAGAACTTTATCTTTTTCTATGCCCTGGAAATGCGTTCCTACATCCCAGTCCTCGCGCTTCTTGGCGTCGTTTCTGCTAACCCAACCCCCAATCAATGCAAATCGTTCCCAGGAGACAAGTCATGGCCTTCGCAAGCAGAGTGGAACAGCTTAAACAAGACAGTAGGCGGACGTCTAGTGGCAACCGTACCACTCGGAGCTCCCTGCCACGTTCCGACTTTCGACGACGCGACTTGTGAAAGTCTGAAGAAGGATTGGCAATTTGAGAAGATTCAGTATGTTCCAAATATGTGCTTTGAAGACGTCGCTCTAACGTTTAGTCAGTTATGAATCGTCTTCATCTGTAATGGCACCTTTCTTTGCCAACCAGAGCTGCGATCCCTTCCAGCCTCGAGACCGCCCATGTGAGCTCGGGAATTACGTCCGTTACGCTGTGGATGCGTCCGGGCCTGCAGACGTCCAGCGAGCGATCGCGTTTGCTGCCTCCAAGAACATTCGTCTCGTCATCCGCAACACGGGCCATGATTATCTCGGCCGTTCCACAGGCGCGGGCTCACTAGCGGTATGGACACACCATCTCAAGGAAATCACCCATGTTCCGACGTTCAAGGGTTCAGAATACAATGGCCCGGCTTTTAAGATTGGTGCCGGCGTTCAAGGTTTCGAACTAATGGCTGCTTCTCGAGACAAAGGCTTGGTCGTGGTTGGAGGCGAGTGCCCTACTGTTGGCATCGCTGGCGGTTACACACAGGGTGGTGGGCATTCGGCTATCAGTACTAGCTTCGGTCTCGCTGCCGACAACGTACTGAACTGGGAAGTCGTAACGGCGGGCGGAAAGCTTGTCAATGCGAATACGAAAGAAAATGCGGATTTGTACTGGGCTCTCAACGGCGGCGGTGGCAGCACCTACGGCATTGTGGTTGGGATGACTGTCAAAGCGCACAAGGAAGCTGTTTTCGGCGGCGCTTCACTGTCGTTCTTCACCACGGACAACGACCAGGACGTGTTCTATGATGCTATCCAAGCGTTCCACGAGGAGCTGCCTGCCATGGTAGATGCCGGAGCAATGGTGGTCCATTACTTCACGTCTTCATTTTTCATGATCTCCCCGCTTAACGCCTACAACAAGACGGAAGCCGAAGTCAAGGCCATGCTTGCGCCTTTCGTCGCTAGGCTGGACTCCAAAGGCGTCAAGTACACCGCTGAATATAGCGAATTCGACACGTACTATGAGCACTACGACAAGTACTTCGGCCCCCTTCCTCTCGGCAACATCCAGGTCGGCATCGCCCAGTACGGTACTCGCTTGATCCCACGAAGTGTAGTGGGCAACATCTCCGAAACCTGGAAGGCTATCATAGAAAAGGGAGTGACCTGGATTGGAGTCGGTACAGATGTGAAGGCGTTTGGTTCGGAGAAAACAACGTCGGTCCACCCGGCCTGGCGCAAGGCAATCGTGCACGCGACCTTGACACTTCCATGGAACTTCACAGCTCCGTGGTCGGAGGCGTTCGCAACTCAAGACAAGATGACGAACGAGATTATTCCTCTTGTTGAGGCTGCGACACCTGGTAGCGGATCCTACGTGAACGAGGCCGATTTCCGTCAACCGAATTTCCAGGATACGTTCTGGGGCCAGAACTACGCAAGGTTGTTGACGATCAAGAAGAAATGGGATCCTTCAAGTCTATTCTACGCCACTGTCGGCGTTGGCAGCGAAGCCTGGACTGTTCGGACTGATGGTCGCATGTGCCGCGCCTAGTAACTAGTTCCTGTTCTGTGTCAATATGAAAAACTGCGTACAAGTCGCGCTGTCCATCTGGAACCTTTGACTGATGAATAGGTCATCATCGACCTCGCGTGTGGAACTAACATCGTTGGCACAAGCAATCCCCCTTGCATCACGATGGATCGAATAAATTGATAGTCTTTATGATAGGAGTCATCTCCACAACGCTGGTAGCACGCGTGTGCAATTGAAAACATGGAAAGGTCGTAGCGCGTCCTGAACGCGTCCAATTCAGGTTCTCGAGTGGGGAAGCTAGCGTCAATGACGTACACCAGGGGATACCCTGCAGCCGCCACAACTCTGAGAAAACCAACTAACAATCATGCCTCCTAAAAAGTTGAACAAAGATGGGGGCAAGAAAGATGAAGAGAACAAAGAGTCTAACAAGCCCGCCGTTTCCGAAGAAGAGGTGCGGCAAGAATCTGGGAAAGCCGCCAATGCTGCCCTCGCCGCGCAAAAGAAAGCCAAAGAATTGAAGGATGCAGCAGCTGCGGCCAGCGATCCGGACGAACGGGAGAGGCTGACAGAAGAAGCCACAAATGCACACATCGAGGCTGAGTCATTTGGAAAGACCGCAAAATATCTTCGTTCGGGCGCTTTTCAAGGCATGGCAATGGGCACAGGCCTTGGTGTCGCGCCTGGTGCCACATTGGGCGCAATCACCGGGACTTTGGTTGGCGGCATCTCTTCAACTCTGCTTGGTGGGATAGGTGCTGGAGTAGGTGGAGCGACAGGTGCGCTTCACGGCCCATGGGTGAACATGGGCAAAGTAGCAGGGAAGGGAATGAAGAAGCTCACTAGTTTCCTCCCGCAATGGGCAGCGAGCGAAGAGCAAAAGAAGACACTGGAGAAGATGATGGGACAAGCTAACGAAGAAGAGATGCCCGGAACTGAAGAGCTTGAGAAGTTCAAGAGTGAGGGAGGTGGAGGTCAGATTGACGAGGGTTGGATGGAGAGTGCGAAGGGCATGATGCCAGATCAGAAAGAGGTGTCAGACGCTGCAAAGGCTGGTGCGCAAGCAACGGGCGGAGATTCGGACTCGAAGCCCTGTGCGAACCAGTCTGAAGAGCCACCAAGCGGAGATTCAGCACAAAAGAGCGAAACTCAAGGTCGCAAGAAGCCACGGAAGCTGAATGCGAAGCAAGATGATAGCGAGCCACAATCAGTCGAGACGGACAGTATGCGTAATGATGCTGGTGGAGCATCTAACGCAAGCGAGAAACCCGATACTCAAAACGCGGATTCGCAGAATGACCGGGAAAAGAAACTCGACCAACGAGAGAGTGATCTTAATCGACGACAGGCAGAGCTAGAAGAAAGAGAAAAGGCCCTGGCTCAGCGTGAGAAAGAACTGGATTCAAAGCCTGACGGTGATGCCACGGAGTCTACTTCAGCGCCGAAACCCAAAGGTCAACCGCGCAAGCTAGCAAGTAGATCGTAGATCTTTAGGGTACGCTAGACAAAGGTCCTAGCTATAAGTTACCCTATCGACCGTATGGGATTTTGGGATTTGATTGGTCGCTGCTGTAACTGGGTTGCTAGGGTCATAGTGATGTTAGCAAGTTGACGATTAGTCGGCACGGGTCGCTTCAACCACGGGCGTCAGTATGCGCGAACCAGAGTCTTTCGATTACACACAGCTACAATATCTGCATCAAACCTTTCTTGCATCTTTTGCATTCGAACACCTCTCATTTTTGCTTCCAAACACCCTCAAGCCTTTTCGAGCTATATACAACAACAATGTCGCGCCTGCCTTCTCCCGGTCCCAGTCCCGATACCTTCAGGTTTCTCGACCTTCCAGCCGAACTCCGGCTGATGGTATACGAGCACATCCCGAACGAAGTCTTCCGCCACGAATGTCGAGAGATCTTTGCTACAAAAAAGCCCGGCTTGTCTCTTCAGATCGCTCAAGTGGGAATCGCCCTCCTTAGTACGTGTCGGCAAATACACACGGAGGTCATCGAGATCATAAAGAGAAAACAAGCACTCGCAGCCTCAATACCCATTCACATTGCGCTGACAAGATGGGACGAGCGCATTCTCAAGATCTTATACATCTTTTACCGGAAAATATACATCGCACGCAGGAATTTGATCGGATCAACGTCGATTTATGCGAAACTTAACTTACCTGGTAACGAACCTCTCTTGTCTACCTTCAAAAGACTAATACGAGGACTTCCGAATGTTGAGTTCGTTCTTGATTTCCCGGATATGAACTTGTATGCCGCAGACCTGCTGTCAGAAATAGCATGTTACGGTTGTTTCGACTTCCGCACTACCGTCCGTGTACCGCCTGGTTTGATTTCAACGACAGTGTTCAATTATTTCCAAGGCATCCGAGGCCTGGTTGTCATATGGGATGAATCAAAAGACTGACTCATGGATGGGGGGTATCGTGGAAGACTTAGTTGCACGCTTGGGTTAATGGGTCGGAGAAGTTGCAATTCATTTGGAGATTGCTAGTCTACCTGCAGGCTGTGGTATGCTTCACGGCTCATAGTATTCGCCTCGTTACCTCGTATTAAGAGCTTGTATCTTAATACTCGGCCTCGTGTATTCCTGGTCCCAGTCGGTAGACGATCGCGACTGCACCGTGCGAGCATCGCTACTACCTTGTCACCTTCTGGCAACCACGACAACACCTCGACCCTCGTTTCCCCTCTTACTTTGCGGAAACTGCATGCTGCCATGGTTGCTTATAAGATATCGCGCATCCACCACTTCTACTCTCACTACGCCACACCATTCTTCCGGCGCCGCAGCTCTTACGGTCAAACATCCGATAGCAGGCAGCATCCGATCGCTTACCTCAAGACTGCTATTGTCGCATCGCAATCATGTTCTTGATGTCTACTCTCCTCCTATTACTTCTACCTACCTCACTCTCCGCCAAAACCATACCTCGAGCCGACGACATCGAGATCCACACGAAGCCAAATATATGCCTTCCGCATGACGGCTTCGGCAGCATGACGGTCAATTTCCGCAACCCAGATGAGAACACGGTCGAATACGCGGTCGTCACCAAATATACAACCTATTACCCCGACATCCTCAAAAACGCCTTGGCTGTCAAGGGCTTCCAACTTTCCGGACTGGAGAACGATCAACTATGCGGCTGGACAAAAGCTGCAGCCGTGTATAGCACACTAGGACTGGACTTCCACAGCCACCGCGGTGATATCTACTGGAAACACAGCGACGCTCACTCAGTTGGCGGCCCAAGGGATTCTGTCGGCCCTTCGAAAAGGTCTGCTAACAAAGCAGCCCGCCTCCCGTCTTCAATCAAGGATAGTGTTGTAGCCATCAGTAATGTACTCATCGCCAACCCACCCGCCGGCGACGTCTACATGTTCAGCACCATCATCCTCGCCTGGACCACGAGTCTCTTCGGCTACATCCTCCTCATGCTGCTGCTCATGGCCTGCATCAGAAAAGCTGATCGAACCACCAACACGTCAAAGGATAACGAGGTTGACGAGGGCATCGAGCTCGAATCCATCAAAGCACCTGATACAGAGAGCCTGGCGAGAACCGACTCCGCAGCGGCCGGGCCATTCGAGGACGTCAAATGGGAATACCCCAGCCCTCAGCGTTCTACCGATACGAAGCGGGCCGAACCGCTTCCTATGTACTCGGTTTGGGGATCTCGTCATGCGGTGGCTTGATGCAAGGCTGCACTGAGGTGCCGTGATAAGGGCGCGGTTGATTCGCCTTGTGGTTTTTGGTTTCTCATCCCCAGTTTCTTGTGTCATCGCGTTTGCTGGCCCTGGGTTCACTTTTTATTCTCATGGCGCCAGGTAGATACCTGTTCCATTGCGTCTGAGCATCCTGAACGCTTTGGGTGTTGTCAAGCGCACGTCGACTCAGCCCGTTCTCCCGATCCCATCCTCCTCTACAGTCTATAGCATGTGCTTTTGCTTTTTACATAGCCCCCAATGCAAGCCACATCACTTGAAACCCGTCCATTAATCACTGCTGTGCGGACCATCGGAAAACGATATGCACAGCGCCTGATTATAGCATCGCCCCGCTGTGGTGATTCCGGTTCTCCAACTAATCCAGCCTTCTGATTTACGCCCGACTTTAACTGCGGTCGCGTTGAAGTGATACAGTGCATACTCGACCCAAGCTAAAACACATGTGGGGCTTGGATCGATCTAATTTCCGCCTATGCAGTCATTGTTACACGGAAAAAACATTGGGGGCTAGTGGCGGTCCCGGACGTCGAGAACGGACCGGTGAGCAACGCGTTACTCGGTAAGGCGGCCAAGCAAGTAGTGGAAGTTCTGTTGTACGTCACCAAGAGGACGGAAATAAGCACAGTGTTACGGTACACCAGCTGCTGACAGTCTAGTAACATTGGTAAGGCTGTATGCCGATGTCAAGTCGCTGGCATGGAACGTAGATGATGTATTTAGTATGTTGGGCGAGAAGACGTAACGTCATGTGGGATATGCTACAAGAAAGGCAATGATGATAAACTACGATCGCTGACAACAGGTGAAAAGGCACATTTACAGTAGATTGATGCCTCCTCCCGGTGTGCCCAACAACATATCGCTCTCATGAAGACCCTCAGAGTTACATCTCGTACCTCGCCGGCGCTGCCCCATCGGTCGGCGGTTTATGTGCGTGCTGTGGATCCAACTCCACTAAGCTCTCCGGTGGTGCCTCGTTAAGAGGAGGACCGTAGTAACCGGAGCTGTTGTTGAATGGTAGAGGATTAGGCCCGTTCTTGTACTGTTCAGCGATCTGTGTGCCGGGCATCGGTGACGGGATGACGTCTTTCTTTCTGTGACGACGGAAGAGGAGGAAACCAACTACGAGGCCGATTATGAGTGCGACAGGTATTCCGACGCCGATGCCAATTTTGGCTGATGTAGGAAAGCTATTCTCGCGCGGTGCCGCGCTGGATATCGGTACGGGTGCGGGTGTGGATGGTGGTGTTGTCGTTGGTGTGCTAGTAGGTGTCGAGTTTGCAGTGACGGAGGATGGGGAACTCGCGGTAGATGCTGAGCTCAGTGAGGTGGAAGGCAAAAGCGACGAGGAAGATCTTGTTGTCGATTCGGTTTTGTCTTCAAGATAGAAATACCGGCTGAAGTCTGCTGGTACCGTTGCGCCCTCTCGGTAGAGCGCCAATTGGAACAGGTTGGACAATTTGAGGTTGATCTCAGGCCTGATAATCCATTCTTGGTTGGTTCTGTTTACTACACTCTCTATCATATATTGTTAGCCCGTGGTTTCCTAACTTTTGAAAGTGCTTGCTATACGTAAAATGTATTCTACGTTCTTAATCGACACGCCAGTCTTCGGATCTGCTTGCCACAGAATAATAGAGACTGCAGTATCGGCCGGTGCCTCTGTCCAATATACCGTAATCTTCTCGCCTATAGTGTAGTTGAGCGCATTGCTGATGTCCAGTGCGGTATCAAGGGATGGCGGGAGGATAAATTCCATGGGCGCTGGGACATGGACAAAGGTCCAACTATAGTAGCCCGAGATCCAACTAGAGCACGACCAAAAGAAGAACACGTCTGCTGGAAGATGAAAAGATGGTAGAAAGAACTTCGGGTCTGAAAACGTCTGTAAGCTTCAAGCGAGTGAAGAACAGGCTACCCAGAACGAGGTAAGCACCTAAGGTTGAAGCAGGCGAAGTGTCGGAGCGGTACCTCAAGCAGTCGACGAGAGTCTGAGATTGCGCCTGTGCAGTGACGCCTGAGGCTTACGAGCTGACAGTCACGACGGCAGCCTGGAAGTGCTGGGCGATTAGAGTGGTCTGTGGCGTGGTGCGCTTTTCCCATACCAAGACGAGTCTGTCATGGCTAGAAGCGTGGCGCTGGAGGTCATCGGTCTGCGCACGAGAACTCCTGTTGATCAGCATTGGAACTGTTATCTCGTGCATGCGGCTGAGCTTGGGATATGCCTCTCAAACCACGTGTCACGGACGCTGATTATTACCTGTCGTTGGTACTGATCGTTCACTGGGCTTCATCGCCAACCCTCATGAATCGTTACCCTAGAGGATTTACAATCGGGCTGAGACATATCATACCCTTTCCATCATTGGATGACAGGACACAACCTCACCAGCCGTCTGGGGCCAAGACCTGTCGTGGCCTTAAGTATCTGCATGTATACGCACCGTGGGGCGTAAGGCTGCGGATCCCCGAAATGAGCAACGGATCTTGGTAGCCAGTAAAACCTCCGTCTTTGGTTGAGGAATGCGGATTCTTTGTTGCGCACGTGGCTGAATATGCTGTACTACCTCTTTGACACCGAGGGTTTTCGTGGGGTCCATGGCATTGGGTCATCCGCGCCATTTATTTCCGGAACTGTCAAGGATTGTCTAAGACAAAGCCTAGATTTGCGTTGGTGTCTAGACTGCAAAGACTCAAATGTCAGCGGTCGTGATTCAGCCTCATGAAGATCGATGTGGATGATGAAGCATCTACATCCGCTCTGCTTAGACACATTACAGCAAGCTTTCGTTCGGCATTCTGCTCATTCAGTATGTTAGCAAGGCTGCAGTTCAAGTTTGTCAGCTATCAGTCGCTCTTTGCCTTGTGCGTCCTTCTTCTCATATACCAGATCTACACCATTCGCTCCGCCGCCCACGATGAAATCGCCCTGCCCACCCAGGAAACCGTCCAAGCACCTAAGTATGAAGGCATACCGAGGGTAATATGGTACAAGCTGGGCCCTCGTGGCCTCTCAGAAGAAGCCCGAAACTGGACTGATAGCTGCATCACGTCCAACCCAGAGTATGAAGCGCACTTCATGACGGACGAAAGCAGCGACGAATATGTCCGAACCGCCTTCGCATCGAGGCCAGATATCGTCAACAACTACCTTGCGCTTCCAGTGCCTATATGGAAGGCAGATCTGCTTCGCTACTTGTTGCTCTGGGATCAAGGTGGCATCTGGTTCGATCTCGACGTCTCCTGTGAGAACATACCCATCGACGACTGGATTCCGCCGGAGTACAAAGCGAACACAAGTCTGGTTGTGGGTTGGGAGTTCGACCATGGCTGGCCGGACAATTACTTGCACCAGATGGAGATATGGGCCATCATGGCAAAGCCCCGGTCACCGCATCTGATGCAGGCGATAGATGACGTTTTGGAAGAGCTGGCTAAGAAGACCGCTGAACACGGCGTAGCTGTCGAAGACACTACCATGGAGATGATGGGAGATGTAGTTGATTTCACAGGCCCAAGGCGTCTGACGTATGCGGTATACAAGAGTCTGGGTGCCATGGTGAACCGCAACCTGGCGGGAAGTGACGTCGAGAAGCTTCTGCAACCCAAGCTAGTCGGAGATGTGCTGTTCATGCCCGGTCGCTCTTTTGCGCCGATGACGAACAGATATAGCGCTGAAGAGGAAGCAGTACTATCACCACAGTTAGTGACGCATCATTACGCTGGAACGTGGAAGAACAGCCACGGCGGCGAGCGTTGAACGGCCAATTTGAATCATACTCCAAAGTCGCGTCGGTCTGTTGGCGGCTCAGGCCAGGGGTTGTGTCCGCCAACGCCAATAGCGAAAGTCGTTGGTAGACAACAATCAGTAACATGGATGCGCGTGTGAGGAGGGCGCAGGAAATTCTTCAAAGGTCGGTGCCGCAGCCCTGGTTTCCAGCACCCCGGGCCAGCACTTGAGGGGTCTTACGATCTAGCGCGAGCTAGCATTAATGCAGCTAGGCCAGAACCTCATGCGTGCTGCTCTACCTGGGTATCACTACGATACTCACTGTCTTCATTGCGAACTGGTTATGAAGAATGTAATGTGATCTCATGGGATTAGCTACAACAGCATAAAAATCAGTTCAGAAATACAATCTCCCAAAAACCCACCTTCGTGACCCCTCGCTCAAAAAATCCAATTGCTGCCATGAACCTGTCCCGCATATCCATCCACTGCGTAATGAGAGTGGGGTGACAGTAGAGCTCGATTTTCTTAACTTCCTCCAGCTTGTTAAGGTCGTGCAAGGCACCAAGCCAGTCGCAACACTCTTTGTGAAGATTTCTGGAGATTCCTGCGTCTTGGTCTGAAGCGTCAATATTGGAACCTATTTGGAGCCTGATAACGGCATTGGCGATGAAGCCTCTCTGCAAGCGTGTTGCACGTAAATCGGACGGAGTATCATACTGGCGGGCTTGGGTAGGAACTTGCGAGCTTTGTCCAGCCATGATAGGTTGATGTGATGAAGGTTCGGTGAGACCCTGAAGAAGGGGTGATGTAGGTATTTATGTATAGCCGGTATGATTGCTGTCTTTACCAGCTGATATGACCACCGCAGTCTGAAGCCATGTGATGTTTGTTGTAGCACGTTCAGGGCTCCTGATCACCGAACGGATAGTTGAACTTGAGGAGAGCATTCAGTCCACCGACCCAGTGGTCCTCAGCCATGTCTTCCTTGCCACTTGTGCCACGCACGATGCTAGGAACACCACCTTCCCAGCCCCGCGCGTCTCGTTTGACCTCTTCCCCACCTATGCGGACTTCCATACCCGTGCCCAGTTTCTCTGTAATGGTATTTCCGTCGATGCTGACCTCGACCTCACGACCGCGGTTCTTCTTGCCTAGCCGCAGTGTGATCGGCGTCTGAGCTGGCAGCACTAGTGGCCTGAAGGAAAGTGATCGAGGGCAGATAGGCGTGAGGCAT